GTATTCTTTATGATTGCTAACTTTTTACTGCAATGTTTCCTTATTAGGGCATATGTGCATAAAAGAACAGTCATTTTTATAGCAGCATTTGTGCGATTATTTGATTAAATTGATTTTTATAGGAATGCGTTAAAAGTTGCACTTCACTAAGTATGGAAAGGCTGGCATTCCCTTCTGCTAAACATCTTTCTGATTGATTGACACTGACAAAATAGATTCATACTACATCATGTGCTGCGTATATCTGTTCTGTTCTAGGATTGTACACATTCACTTTTTGACACACATACTTTAGACATCTCCATGCACAGACACACAAGCAAGCACTGATACAACCATACAAACAAGGAACTTTTGTCTACTATATTTTTTTACATTATTGACATATATTGTATTATTTTTCTTATCCTGTTATCATTTGCTGTTTGTTAATAAATATGTTTGATTTATATATAATGCTGAGTACATTTCATCTTTTAGTGCTTCACACCCTTAAGGTATTTTTTTCAAAGTTTTAGAAGTACCAAGATAACATTTAATGGGGAAGCTGTCCCTACAGAAGAGATTAATCAGTTTAAACCTCAGATAGATGTCTTGGAATAACTACAAACACCAAAGGGAATGAAATGGCTCAGGAAGCTCACTACAATATATTAATCACACACAGCCGCAAGTACCTAATAATCAAACTAACAATTTTAGGGTAAGATAAAAATATAATACAAGCATCAATAGACAACAAAAAGAAATAAATGTTTTTATGTTCTTATATAATATTCTCGATTGCAAAGTAATGAGTGTTGTACTTTCTCTTTATTTACTGTATATTATGCCTTTTGCCCAAATTTATTTAATTGTTAGTTTGCAATTCTCATCCACTTGAAGTTTTATATCTTTTTGATGTTTTATATTTTTTTGTATTTTCTATATAACTACCACATTTGGTAAATGTAATACAAATGCTTTTAAGAAGATGATTTTTCTGTCTCTCTGCCTGGAGTCACCTGATGCATATTAAAGGTCAACAATTTGTGGACCTCTGCCCATTACACCTGTATGAGCCTGTTGAACATTTCATTTCAAAACCATGGACATTATTATGGAGTCGGCCCTCCTTTGCAGCTATTACAGTCTCTACTGTTCTGAGAATGCTTTCCACAAGGTTTTGGAGTGTGTCTTTGGGAAATTGTACGCATTTAGCCAAAAAAGCATTTTTGCAATCAGGTGCTTATGTCAGATGAAAAGACCTGGCTTTCCAATTCAAATGTGTTCCTTAGCATTGAAATCATGGCTATGTGCAGTCAACTCAAGGCCCACAGCATGAAACTAGCCAAGCTATGTCTTTATGGAGCAGAGTACAGAGGGACAGTCAGCATGGAACAGAAAAGGGCCTTTCCAAAAATGTTAAAAATGTCTTAGTATGCTACAGTGACAGTTCACTTTACTGGAAACACCTGAACTGGTGGTGTACATACTTTTTGATTATATACTGTACATCAATGATTTTCTTAAAAGTTCTTGCATTTTTATCCAGGTTTTCATTGACTAGGTGAATTACAAATCACAAGTAGCCCCTTCATATGATTTATTGTCTTTCCTGGTGAAAAAACATGGACAAGTAAAGCAAAAGCTTCAAAAAGAAGAGACAGTTGTGACAGGGTAGGCTGCTGCTCTATAGTTTCTGGAAATGCTGTGAGCCACCATTGGCATATATATACGAGGAACGTTCAAGTCAAACAGGGACTTTTGTGTTTATATAATAAAAGAACAATTCCAAGGAGTGGAAACTGCATTTATTTATTTTACATACTTCCCTGCTACATTCATACACTTATCCCAGTACTTAGCTAATTCCTGGAAGCATTGAAAGATTTGTCAGTACACCTCAACCATCCTAGGACAGACTGCTTTACTTCATCAGAATTGTATTCACTTTTTCCACAGAAATATTTGTCTCTTGTGCAATTTCAGGACAGGTTATACATCGATTATCTAGGATCAGGTGTTTCACACATTGAATGCTCACAGGAATGATTGCTGTGGGCTGGGAATGGCCAAGGTTGGGATTGTCACTGATGGATGTACGACTGACCTTGAAATGTTTACACCATTCAAATGTCTTACTGCAGCTGAGCGTCTCATCACCGTACTGTGCTTGAAGTCTTCTGTAGATTAGAGTTTTATGCTTTTGTTCACAAGAAACTCCATCACCAACATGCTGTTCCATGCACACTAACACTCTTGTCTGTCATCTTGATTAACGGTCTCTGGACTGGCCCGCAAAATGTGCTCCACCTATCAGTAATAGGACACACTTGCCACTTACTACTGTGTGTAGCACTGCCACACTAACATCCCTTTTTATACCTGTAAAATTAGAAGTCCTGGTTTGACTTGAACGCCCCATATATATATATATATATATATATATATATATTATGCATTGTAATATACATACTATAATTTCTCTTGGTCTCCTCCACTCTATGTTCTTTGGGTTGATATCAAGGTCTTTTCCATATCCAGTGCTGTTAAGGTTAGCAGGAAAGGCTTCATCAACAAACAAACTTCCCCTCTTCAGATGCCCATCTCTCAGGGAATAAAAGTCCTGATTGTAAAACTTGCGTGGTTTATCCAGGGTGCCATTTCTGACCTGGAGACCAGATCTAGAGGTGTTCATAGTGACACTGAAAAAAAATAAATATATTCTTAGTGTATGCGTTTTTTATATATGAGTTCTGCTGTCAATAAAAACATTACCCAGAAATGTTCATAAAGAAGAATTAGTGTGGATTCACACATGTGCGGTGCAAATTGAAGCTTAGTTTTCACAGCTACTTGACACTGTAGTTGTTCAGCGGTTTAGGTCAAGTTTAGATCAGGTTCAGGTCAGGATTTAATCCTGTTCACAACTGATGACATATGCTGTTTGGAAGCTTCCCATAGAGGTCAATAGCTTGTAATCCGCATCTGAACCAGACCGAACTGCCCAGAAATTGGACAGGACTCTTTTTCAATCTGCACTGAATCCGCACTGCCAGTGCACCTGACATATGTGAACAGGCAAAATAGGAATCAATGTTATTTCAAATGGCATACAGAATGGATGCTGTTCACACTGCATCCAATATGCATATATGTGAACGGACACTTAGAGTGAGGTTGATTTCCACACTGCAATATACATATCACACCATGCAGACATATCTACCATCTATTACTATCTTTTTATACTCATATGAGTTGATTTACTAAAGGCAGATAGGCTTTTCACTTTGCAAGGAATTTTGCACTTTTCAAGGCCATTTTTTCATAGCATAGTGAATGTAGGTAAGGTGTGCCGACTTCCATCATCCAAAAATGTACAAGCAAAGATATGGTTAATTTTATTTTCCTTGCACATGATTGGGTATTATTTGCAAAGTGAATTTTAGCTGCATTCACTAAGCTACGAGAAATGTCTCTTGCAAAATGAACAATCTATTTGCCTTTAGTAAGTCAACCCGATTGTGTGCAGAAGGGTTGACTACCTCTCTTGCTCTTTTTTACCCTTTTCTCTTGCTATCCCTTCTATTTCCAATCCTTGTTTCACACATTTAAATACAAATATATTTTATTAGTTGGGCCAAATACATTTTAACATTGTTCAGTGGTTGTGGTTTCTTGTTGGTTTTGGGGACAGGTGAAGGTGGTCTCTAGTCAAGGTGGCCTGCAGGCCTTTGTCAGTCTGGATTTAGGTAGATAACGTTTGTGAAGATACTGTTGGATGGCAGTTGTGGATATGTGGAGCTGTTATGAGGAAAAGGGAGTGTAGGAGGATGGTCTTCATTCTGGTATGATCTGACTATATGAAGTGCTTGTAAAGAGGGGCAATAAGGGGCACAAAATAAGGGGTCCCATCTATTAACAGCACTTAATAACTTAAAGAATTGAGTTCCTCCACCGCAACATTGCTTCAACCTTAAAGTGGACGTAAACCCACTTAGGCAACTTTTACCTACAGGCAAGCCTTTAATAAGGCATACCTGTAGATACTGTAAATATCTCCTAAATGTGCCCTGTTTAGGAGATATTTACTGTAGAAGCGATGGTGATGTCACCAGCGCATGCACGTCATCCATTGAGAGAGCAGTGCCACGGGTGAAACTCCCTTTGCTCAAGCACAGGAGTGATGACATCACGGCTCGGCCAATCAGATGGACAAAGCTCATGACCCCAGAAGGAAGTCGGAATGAAGTTGGAAGCCTCAGGGAGCTGTGACAGTGCTCCACTGGAGTGCTTCATTTTCAGGTAAGTCTTTCATAATGTGCTAGTGTGTGATGCATACTAGCACATTATGCTCTTAACCTGCAGGAAGAAGATTTTTTGGAATTGTTTTTGGGTGGTTTACTACCGCTTTAAAGGGTATGTAACTCCTAACAATTATATGCCACTGAAAGGGTTGATGTTGCCAGAAATCTTGTCAGATGATAACTGCCTGTGCTGCACTGTTATCAGTTAAAGCGGAACTTCACCCAAAAGGGGTGAACTTTTCCTCCTCCTCCCCCCCCCCCTCTTTAAATTTTGGCACATATTTTTTTTTTGGGGGGGGGAGCTGGAACCTGGTTTTGAAAAGTACCTGCTCCCACTTCCACTTGGATCGACAAGCCAATCTGAGCAGAAGTTCTCCTCCCCCCTTCCTGCCCGAATCCTTCTGGGTCACGTCACAGGTTCCAGAAGGCCACGGGACCATTCACTAAGCAAAGCACAGTTTGTGAATGCACAGCGAGCAGCCAGTTGTGAAGCCTTAAGCAGTCACAGACAGCTGCCCACAGTTAACATGCCACCACTGGGGACTAAAGACCAGTGAAGAACCCGCCCTGGGTGAGGATGATGCTGGATCCTTGCACAGGTGAGTGTCTGTTTATTAACCACCTTCTGCCCGCCATATAGTACAATGACGGGCGCAAGGTGGTTCTCTCGTTCTGATAGGACGTCATATGACGTCCTTGCATTCTCACCATGCATGCGCGGCTCAGGGAGCGCGCAGCCCGGCGATTGCCGGTGCTCTGTGTCCCACGGACACAGCGGATCACAGATCATGGAAAGAGCAGAAGATGTGCGGCGCGGTCATGTGATCAGCTGTGTCCAATCACAGCTGATCACATGTAAACACGGAAATGCCGGTTATCGGCATTTCTCTCCTCTCGAGCTGTCACGCTGACAGCTCGAGAGGATAGGAGAGCCAGTAATCGGCTTTCCGCAGAGGGGACATGTACACTGATCATCAGGGCACTGATGATCAGTGTGCCCTGATGATCAGTGTGGCCCCAGAAGTGCCACCTGTCAGTGTCCATCAGTGCTAGCAGTCAGTGCTCATCAATGCCACGTGCCAGTGCCCATCAGTTCCACATCAATGCCACATATCAGTGCATACCAGTGCACATCAATGCCACATATCAGTGCCCATCTGAGCTGCCTTTCAATGTCACCCATCAGTGCCAGTCATTGCCACCTATCAATGCCATTCAGTGCCACCTATCAGTGCTGCCAATCAGTACCACCTATCAGTGCCAGTCAGTGCCGCCTATTAGTGCCAGTCAGTGCCGCCTATCAGTGCCAGTCAGAGCTGCCTAACAGTGCCAGTCAGCCCCGCCTATCAGTGCCAGTCAGTGCTGCCTATCAGTGCCACCTATCAGTGCCATGTATCAGTGCTGCCTTTCAGTGCCCATCAGTGATGACTGTCAATGCCCATCAGTGCAACCTACCAGTGCCTCCTCATCAGTGCCCATCAGTGCTACCTATCAGCGTCCATCAGTGCAGCCTATCAGTGCCCATCACTGCAGCCTCATTAGCGCACATCAGTGAAGGAGAAAAATCACTTATTTACAAAATTGTATAACAAAAACTAAGAAAAAATGTTTTTTTCAAAATTTTCAGTGGTTTTTGGTTTGTTTAAGAAAAAATAAAAATCCCAGAGGTGATTAAATACCACCAAAAAGAAAGCTCTATCTGTCTCAAAAAAAATGCTAAAAATTTCATATGGGTACAGTGTTGCATGACCGCGCAATTGCCATTCAGAGTGTGACAGCGCTGAAAGCTGGAAATTGGCCTGGGCAGGAAGGGGGTATAAGTGCCCTGTAGGCAAGTGGTTAAAAGGTGTCTGTTTATTAAAAGTAAGCAGCAACAGCTTTTGTACCTGCTGAATTTAAGTTTTTCCAGAATTGACTGAAGAACTGCTTTAAAGCATTCCAAGTTATGTCTGAGGATTAGTGAACTCCTCCTGAGTTATGGCAGAGGGTATATGCAGAAGAAAGGGGTAGGTCTCTGTAGTTCTGTCCTTTTTCAGTTGTCCTGATAAAGTACAGTGAGCAAAACTGTCACCCTAGGACAGGAACTGTGTTACAGGCAGGATACCCAGGTAAATATAAAGGTAAATAAGCCTAAAGATTAAAACTAATACAGCCACCACATCTAAGGACTGGTAAACTACGATATACTACATTTTTGTGTTTGGGTCTAAATTTACTTAATAGGAAGTTGAGTACAAAAATATCTATTCTTGTCTCTCTCTCTTTCTCTCTGCCTAACAACAGTTTTATATTTCAAGCAAACAACTTCAAAAAAATTGTGCAAATTGTGAATTCTGCAGTGTACAACAGAGACAACTGAAAACAGTTTTTGCTGTTTTCAGGCACCAAAGTCTTCCTTCGGGGCATACTACTTAGCACCAAACCGATGACATTCTTTTCTGTAAAACTCGCTAAACAGGATGAACCGTGACTGTCTGCAGTAAACCACAGAGTTTCATCTTTCTCTTCCACCGACGGCTTGCCAATGTTTCCCCCCTTTATAAATATTGCTGCAAATGGCAAAAGGACGCAAAACAATAGCTACAGCAATCATCGTGATTAGAAAAACAAAACAAAAAACCTTGGAGATCTTAATTAATTTAGATTTCCTATTGTTAGCTTTGTTAGAAGTATATCAGGTACAATAAAAATGTTATGATTATTAAACTTTGCCTAATAAAGTCTAATAAAGATAATGTGCAGTATTTTTGTATATTTTTCTTCCTTTGTTTGATTATTATGTTCAGCTCTTAAAATAAATGTAAAAACATATTTTTATTTTATGCTGATACATATTTGTAATAACATAATTAACAAATGTATATTGCATATGAAAATATTTTTTTTAGCTGAAGATCTAAGATCTTTTTCATGTGTTTTCCAGCTAATCCTTACCGCTCTGTTGTTTACGTAATAGTTTAAGCACAAATTATGTATACCTGAAAACTAAAAGAAATGTCTCCTCCCCCCCTCTCTCCCCCTCCATCTCTGCCCCACATGACTATGCTGAGACTTTAAATTACAGAGAGAATAAGTAAATGCGTTGCTGCGCTATCTCATTAGAGTATACCAGTGCCATGGGTGTGTTAAAAATTCATTTATAAAATAAACAGTAAATAAAAATACTAATTATTAATTTAAAAAGGTATAAATTAAAGCTGAACTCAAGGAAGATTTAAAAGACATAAATCAATGCAGCTACATATTCAGAAATATATTAATAAATGTATATATTTTAAATGTAAGCAGTGTAGATACAGGAATTTGATTTGGCATAAGCCTCCTGCACAGCACAGTACTGATTGTCAGAAGGAGAAACAGATTATGGACTCAATCAGTTGCTATATAAACATTTTTTGTTTTTGGGTTTAGATTCACTTTAATAAGAAGTGGAGCTGAGTACAAAATAATCCATCTCTCTTATTTTTAAAAACAACTCCAAAAACATTGCGAAACTAAGTTCATAGTGTCATAGTTCATAATGGAGAAGCGTTTTATATACTGCAAACATTTTTGCTATTTTTTTTCCAACACAATTAGACTTCCCTTGAGGCAAGGTGTTGAGACATTAACACTCTTTTCTGTAGAAATTGCTCAACAGGAAGAGTAGTGATCAATGACTATCTGAATTAAGGCAAAACTTTTCTTCCTTTTTCAACAACTGTAGCAATTATCATAAGTAAAAAAAAGAAATTCATCTTTATCAAACTTTGCATTCTAACTTATAATAATGATAATTCACAGTGTTTTTCTATTTTTTTTAAATAAATGTAAACATATATTTATTTTTTATACATAGCCACATACATTTAATAATATATTTAACATATATTTATAATTTCTGCTTGTGAATAAATATTTTTTATTAGCTGACGATCTAAGGTCCTTTTCATATGTTTACCAAGCTAATACTAATTTCTCAGTTTTTTACAGTGTGCAATAGCTCAAAAACAAACTACACATACCTGAAAACTCAGAAAAATGACTTCTCCCTCTCTCATACCAATCCATCCTTGTCCCATATGACTATACACAAACTTTAACTAAGAGAAAGAAACATTCTAAAAACAAACAGCTTCTGCTGTGCTCTTCCGTTAGAAAATACCAGATCCATGTCTATAATAAAATTTAATATTAAAATAAATATTTTATGTAAATAGTAAATAAAAATATAAATCATTAGTTTAAGGCTCAGTTCACATTGCTGTGAATCTGATTTGTGAGACCCCAAGTTGCATGACATGTGAAATCCCATGTTAGTCAGTGAGAGCTGTCTTAATTAGCACTACTGAAATCACTCTGACTTTAGAAAAGGTTCCTTTATTACTTCAAGGCGCCTTCTATCCGACTTGTGCCCATAGATTTTAATAGAAATCACCTCCAAGATGGATCCTCATCTGATGTAATTTGGATCCGACTTTACAGGTCATTACATTTGCATTGGACACAGGCAAAGTTGTATGGCATGAAAGTTGATTCAAAGTTGCATCAAAGTAGAAATCAAACCTAAGCAGAGCCTAAGATCACCAGAACTCAGAACTAGTGTCCCTATTGGAAGATTTCCCCTCTGGTTCTTTTCTGGGGACAACCCAAAATTTGAGGCTTTCTTTTATTTCCATTTTTTTAAATAATGGTACACAGGACAAATAGAGAGGGTGAATCTCCCTAATGGCACAGACAGCAATAAAACTGGCAGGTGTTCTAATCAATATCCACTCTGTTTAAAACTAAAGAAAATGTTTTCCCTTTAGTTATACTTTAAAGCTGATCTCTAGGCAAACATATATGATACATTAATGCAGCTACTTATTCATTAATGCATACTTAAATATATTTTTTTAAATGAAAGCTGTGTAAGTACCTAAAATTGTTTCAGTCTGATTTTATTAGTTTCTAAATCTTCGAATATCTAAATCTTGAAGTGTATATATCTGAATTTGATTTGGCATAAGCCTGTTACAATCTCTGTATAGCAGAACTCAGACTGGGAAATGGTGAAGCAGCACAAACAGTTGTGCAGAACAGGAAGAAGAGAGGGAAGGCAGAGGAGGAAGGAAGGAAGATAAGAGAAAGAAAGAGAGAGAGAGAGAAAGAAAGAAAGAAAGAAAGAAAGAGAAAGAGAAAGAAAGAAAAAGAAAAAGAAAGAAAAAAGAAAGAAAAAGAAAGAAAAAGAAAGAAAGAAAGAAAGAAAGAAAGAAAGAAAGAAAGAAAGAAAGAAAAAAGAAAGAAAAAAGAAAGAAAAAGAAAGAAAGAAAGAAAGAAAGAAAGAAAGAAAGAAAGAAAGAAAGAAAGAAAGAAAGATAACAAATGCTTGTACTGATTCCTCTTTGCTGCAAAAACATTCTTTTTTATCTTTGCCCAGGGAAGACTGCACATGGAATACTTCTTTTGCACTTTGCTGTTTATTTCCGATTTTACCAAACGTTCTAGAATTCCCTGTGTACGTCCCTCTGCCACTTTGTCTGAGTAACCTCACTTTCTAATGTTCACCTTACAATTGCACTATCCTTTTATTTATTGGATGATCACAGGATAACTGCAGGGTTCTGCAACCAATTACTTTCTATACCTAAATAAAATACTTACATTTTCCTTTCGTCTCTGGAGTACACAAGAGTGGAACTTCTCTCCTATGTAGATGTGTAGGTATTCTGACACCTCTGCATTTGTCTCAGTCTCAGGCTGGCTTGTATAGAACACCTGGAGCTTTATGTACAGTCTGAAAAGGCCAGAGCTTACAATGAGGCTGCTACCTGATCACACAGGTTAGGTTTAGGGGATGTGCAACTTCTTTTTTTTTACCAGTGTGTGATCCAGTGACTAAGCAGACACGTCAGAACAAGTTATAAACACCCCTCCGGCAACAACGCTGAGCGAGCACGAAAAAAGATATTTACTAAAATAACAGGATTAAAAAAAATGTGCAAGCACTATAAGAAGCTGCTTTAAATAAAAGTATCAGTAAAAACGTTTGTTTTGGATAGAGTGGGGAAAAAAACAGGCAGTATAAAAGTTAAAACCAAATAATAATAGGCAAAATAAAACATGAAACAACAGTCCAATCTTCAATAATAAATAAATTAAACAAATTGGAATTTACCGCATCAAAACGAGCATCTAATTAACCCTTTTACTGCCTGCTCTGGTTTCATGCAGGGACAGAAGGAAAGAGACAGGAGGCGCCCGTCTGAGTGTAGTATTAACACTGTTTTTAATAGCAAAGGATTAAAAACACTCACAAAAGAA